CAGAGTGGCTTCAAATATTGTTTGGGCGCCCTCCGGACGATCGCCCTCCCGCCCCTGATTTGCTCGCGCCCTTCGTCGTCATCACTGCCGCCGTCATTGCCGGCATCGCCGTCCTTGGCACAGATATTGCCCCTTTCTCTTTTCGCTCTTCATTTTTCTCCCCCCCTTTTTGCACCCCTCCTCCACCCTCACGCATTCCTATTTCTCATCGTATGCGTGTTTCCTCCTCTTCTCCTCCTCCCGCCATCGCGCTCATGGCGCTCTCCCACCCTGGCGTTTCTCGCCCCTCCTCGCCCCCTCGGGTTTCCTCCTCGCCCTTCGACCTCTGCCCCCGCTGGAGCTTTCACCGCTCACCGATGCACGGCGCCCCGCCCGCATGGGGTTCAGAAGCCACGTTCTCGCCTCGGCGCCGGCCAGCGGCCCCTTCGGGGCAGAGGCGCCCGGCCGCCCCCCCCCCTGGGGCGCGGTCCGACACTGCCACTGTAGCGCAACAAGGAGCTCTGGACCGGCCCTGTCCGACTCGTCTCTCCCATTTTTCGGGGCCCAGTGGCGGGGACCACTCAGACAAAGCTGGCCCGCATACCTCGCGCACGGCATCTCTGATCCCAGAGTTGCGAGGAGGCCGCAGGCGAAATTGGCCCGACCGTCTCTCGCGCGGCATTCTGGGTTCCGGAATTGCGAAGATGGATCAGGCGAATCCGGCTGGAGTACATCCATCGCGGATTCTTTGAGCCTGGAATTGCAGGGGTGCACCAGGCGAAATTGGCCAAACGATTTTGGTCGCGGGCCTGTATGAGCCAAGAGTTGCGAACATCTATCAGGCGAAATTGGCCAGACCACTTCGAGTCAAGAGCATCTCCGAGCCCGAATATGCGCGGATGTCTGAGGGGAACTGGGCTGGACAACTTCGCGCGTCGCAGCTTCGAGCCCATAGTTGCCAGGATGTCTCGGGCGATTTGGGCAAGATCGCTACAGGCCACAGCAGTTTCGAGACCAGACATGCGAGGATGGTTCACGCGAGACGGACCAGACCACCTCGCGCGCGGCATATTTGATCCTGGAGATGTGTCAGGCGAAACGGGCTGGACAACCTCAGCTCAGAGTATAGCTGAGCCCGCGCGCGACATCTTGGAGCCCAGACTTGCGAAGATGTCGCAGGCAAAGATCGCAGGACCACTTCGCACGCTGCATCTTGAAACCCAGAATTGCGATGGTGTCTCGGGCGAGTTTGGCTGGACCACCTCGCGCCGGGCATTTCGGATCTCAGAGTTGCGAAGACGCCCCAAACGAATCGGGCTGGACCAGCTCAGGTCAGAGCATCTCCGATCCCAGGGGTTGGAGGGATGCCTCGGGCGAAAATGTCTGAAGTAGAATTACCCAGATCACCTCGCGCGCGGCATGTTTGAGCCCAGAGTTGCGAGGATGTCTAAGGCGAGCTGGGCTGGACTTCCTCAGGTTAAGGGGCATATATGAGCCCAGAGTTGCCAGGATGCCTCAGGTGAAACAGACCAGACCACCTCGCGCGTGACATCTTGGATTCAAGAGTCGCGAGGACCCCTCAACGCAATGCAATCCAGCGCAATGGGAAGTGATGCATCAGAAATCGAAACCCATGCTTTGTAACGCAATGCCATGCAATGCAATGCAACAATGAGGAGGAGGAGGAGGTGGAGTTGTTTTCCAGAGCTCCCCATGAAACTTGGCATTACCTACAGTGCAACACCAGTAGGAGGCGGAGCTGGCAACAGGACCAAGCACATCGGAAGCGCACAAAGCAGGACAGAAGCTCACTTAGCAGGAACACGACTGAAACCTCCGAACTGTTCCCCGAACAGCCTGCGTGTAAGGGTCTTGATTAGTTATATCAGGCCACGCGTTCTCTGATTTGTACCGAAGACGTGAACCAAGGAAACCGGCCTTGAGGACGAACACATTTTGAAGCAAGGGACGTCAGCATCACTTGGTCGTGGGCAGCCTTGTCGCGCTGTCTGCTTCCTCGGTCCAAGGGTATCCTACACCTTGCCGCGCTCCAGATGTCTGTCATCCCTCTTCCGTTGTTTGCGGTAAGTTCTGCCGCCGTGCCAACGCAGCATTCTGCGTCGTAGCGCTTCGAGCACCGCCCGGAAGGTCATAACGTGTGACACCTCTCGTGTCCTGTTTCTCGAGGGGTACTCAGGGGGCCTGCCTGGGCCATCTTGGGGCTGCCTTCAGCTCCTGTGGGGCCGTCGTGGGACTCTCTTGGTCGGTCTTGGGGCGTTCCATGCGCCTGTCATCCTGAGGCCCCATCCTCATGACCCGTCATTGTGACCACATCACCCTCCTTGCAGAGTAGCAGGATGTCATCATCGTGACGCACTCCAGTATTTCCCAGAGTTCCCAGGTTTCCTGATGCTCCAAACGGGCTGGCAGAGACAAGATGCGCCAGGTAGTCTGAACATCCTGAAACGCATCCTGAGCTAATGATATTAGAAAGCGTGTTCCACCGCTGCTGGTGGAAAACCGAGGGGGGGGTCACTGGGGGTTCCTGACCCGTCCCCCCCCCTCGAAAACCGGAGGGGGGTCACTACCAGTTCGAACCCCTCCCCCCCCCCTCCAGTCCATCATGAAAAGGGAGGGGGTCACTACTGGTTCAAACCCCCCCCTCTCGAAAACCAGCCGGTCACTACTGGTTCGAACCCCTCCCCCCCCCTTCGAAAACCGGGGGGGGGCACTACCGGTTCGAATCCCCCCCCCCTCGCCGCCGGCAAACGATTCCCGCTCCTTGGGACAGTTGGACAATGGTGGGGATGCTGGGACAGTGGTGGGAACGGTGGTGGTGGGGACAGTGGTGCGGGGACAGGTGGGACAGTGGTGCGGGCAGTGGTGGGGACGGTGGTGGTGGGGACAGTGGTGAGGGGGACAGCGGGACAGTGGTGGGGACAGTGGGACAGTGGTGGGGACGGTAGTGGTGGGGACAGTGGTGGAAGGCGGTGGTGAGGACAGTGGTGGGACAGTAGTACAGTGGGACAAGTGGTGGGGACAGTGGGGACAGTGGGACAATGATGGGGACAGTGGGGACGGTGGGACAGCACAGTGGGACAGCGGCGGGGACAGTGGAACAGTGGTGGGAACAGTGGGGACAGTGGGACAGTGGTGGGGACCGTGGGGAAAGTGGGGAGAATGGGACCGTGGTGGGAACAGTGGTGGGGACAGTGGGGACAGTGAGACACTGGTGGGGGCACTGGTGGGGACAGTGGGGACGGTGGTGGGAACAGTGGGGACACTAATGGTGAGGACAGTGGTGCTGGGGACAGCAGTGGGGGATGTGGTGCGGACGGTGGTAGGGACCCAGAGTTGTTTGCTGGCGGTGAGCGTGGGGGGTAGGGGGGGGGTTCGAAACGGTAGTGACCCCCGTCGGTTTTCGAGGGGGGGGGGGCGGGGGGGGTTCGAACCGGTAGTGACCCCCCCCGGTTTTCGAGGGGTGGTGGTGTTCGAACCAGTAGTGACCCTTCCCGGTTTTCGAGGGGGGGAGAGGGGGGGTTCGAACCCGTAGTGACCCTTCCCGGTTTTCGAGGGGGGGGGTTCGAGCCAGTAGTGACCCCCCCCGTTTTTTTGGGGGGGGGTGAACCGGTAGTTTCTCCAGGTGACCTGGGGTTTGAGAGGGGGGCCAGTAGTGACCCCCCTTTCTGTTTTCTGGAGAGGGGGGGGGAGGGGACTGGTAGTGACCCCTCATGGTTTTCTAGGGGGGTAGGGGTTCGAACCGGTAGTGACCCCCCCCCGATTTTCCGGAGGGGGTGGGGGGGTGGGGGGGGGTTCGAACCAGTAGTGACCCCCCTCGGTTTTCCGGGGGGGAGGGGGGGTTAGGGGAGAGGAGGGTTTTGCCGGGGGGAGAAGGGGGGGCGTCCAGCAGGGGGGAGGGGATTTTCGGAGGGGGGGGGACCCCCGGGCTCGGGAGGAAGAGGAGGGGGAGTTTTCCACAGTAAAGCGGCGGTGGATCACGCTCTCTCTTATATTATGACACCATGCTCGTCCTATCCCTCCCAGGCGAGCGGCGTCAGCTGGGGGAGCGACGCGAGCGCTGTCTTGGGACTCTTTTGGGCCGTCTTGGAGCATTCCATGCGCCTGGCATCATGAAGCCTCATCCTCGTGACCGCATTCTGACCGTACCATCCCGAGGCCCAGCCGGGCATCCTGAGGCCCATCCTGAGGCTCGAAGACGAAACAACGGCATAAACATGAACGTTTGGAGCTCCGCGCGGATTCCTTGGATCTGCGCTGGATCCCCCTCCCAAGCGCGCAAAGCCCGTCAGGGGAGGCGCCGGAGGCAACAACAGGGGGCCCCCACGCAGATCCAAGAAATCCGCGCGTAGATCCGAGTGTTTCTGTTTATGCCGTGCTGTCGTCCTCTAGAGGTCCATCCTGAGGCCCAATCCTGAGGCCCATCCTGCCTGGTATCCTGGCCCATCCTGGCGTCCTGAGGCCCATCCTGGGGCTCGAAGAAGAAACAACGGTATAAACATTGACTTAATTATGGAGCTCCGCGCGGATTTCTTGGATTTGCGCTGAACACCCCTCGCAAGCGTGCGGAGCCCGCCACCGTGCCAGGGGGCCCCAGCGCAGACTCGAGAAATCCGCGCGGAGATTTGAAAGTTGCTGTTTATGCCATCTTGTCGTCCTCTTAGAGGCCCGTCCTGAGTCCCCATCCTGAGGCCCATCCCAGCATTCTGGCCCAGCCCGAGGGCCATGCTGGCATCCTGAGGTCTCATCCTGAGGCCCGCTCTGACTGCACAGTGCCGAGGCCCCATCCTCGTGACCCCATCCTCTCGGCCCCCCTCCCTCCCACTTTCTTCCGCAGCGCGGCAGAGGCAGTCCGCACGAACGCTCAGGCGGTCTGGGCAACATCAAAGCGCACACTTGCTGACAGCGGCAGGAGGGGGGAAAGGCAGGCGAAAGTGGCAACGAGGGAGGGGGGAGGGGAGGGGAGGGCACCCATGACATCGTGCCCGTCACATCCCTCCCAGGGGAGCGGCGACGACGGGGGCAGCGAGAGCGCCTGGAGCTGGACCTCGAGCTCGGGCAGCCGCAGCTGGGCGGACCAGTCCGAGGAACTGTGGGGCGGCGCGCAGGCTGGGCGCTCCCGCGCATATGCATGTCTGGATAATGGAATGTTAGTCATGTGTTGTCATGTGTGTTGTTGGTGGTGGTGGTGAATGAACTCTCATGTCTGAAGAAAAAATATTGTTGATCCCCCCGTCCGGTGCACATTGTTTTTTCGATAGAAGTGCCTTTCCCGGGGCTTGCACCTTGTTTTTTATCACGGAAAGTCTTGAGGGTCAAATTGTGTCGTTGGCCCCCGGTTTACAACAACAACAACGGTTCCCGCCTGATACTTCCTCACAATTTCTTGAAGAATCGCGCTCTCGCTTGGGACTCTTCGGTTTACCACCGGATCGCGGCTCCCGCTTGATACTTTCTCACAATGTATTGAAGAATCGCGCTCTCACTTGGGGCTTTCGCGTTCCTCTCGACACTTCCGCAGTTATCATTATCCTTCCGCCCCACTCTCCAAACATCCCGCTTCTTGTCAGGGTTCCACGAAATTTGTTTCTGACACCAGTTCGCAGCTGTACGTCCCCCCCGTGGGGGTATCCACGATATGTTCTTTCAAGGGGGTGGTACGTGGCGTTATTTCTGGCGCGACCCATGGCGAAACCTTTTGTTAACCTGTGTTGGCGTGGCTGGCGCAAGCCATGGCGCAAGCTGAATCGCCACTCGCAGCGCAAATCATCGTCCTCCCTCCTTCTTGCCCTTCGCCTCCCTTCCCTCCGGTCCCTTCGTCCTCGTTCCCCCCGTTATCTGTTACCTTTCGTTTTCAAGGGCTTCACGAACCACGCGTGGCAGGGAATGAATATGCCCCCCAAATCGAATACGAAGAGGGCGGGTATCCAGGGTTTGGGATATACATATTGAGTGACATGCGAGCAGATAAGAACGAGTAGATTTAAGATGAGTGTTGTGGTTGTTGGCGGTGGCGTTGATGGTGTTGTTGTTGTTGTTGATGTTGATGTTGATGTTGATGTTGATGCTGATGCTGATGTTGATGTTGTTGTCGTGGTTGGTGTTTTTGGCTTGATCCTAACGTAGGTAGTTGCAAGTTTGATTTTGCACGTTCGGATCCCACCCTGTTTTTGGTGCATTTCTGCTTCAAGGGTGAAGCTGTCTTCCCTGAGGAGGTAGAGGAGGAGGAGGAGGAGGAAAACGAAAAGGAGAGGTTGAGTCTGATGATGGGTTAGCGCTGGGCGAGATTTGTACGGGAGAAGGAGAGCACGGAGGACGTGGAGGAGGGTGCTTCTTTTTGTGCGAGGTGTTCATCGCTGAAGGCGAGCCGTTGAAGGAGGAGCAGGATGAGAGAGGAGGGGAGGAAGAGGAGGAGACGGTGAGGGCCCCTCCCTCCCCTCCCCCCCGAAGCCTCCATGCCTTTTTTTCCTCTGACACTCTGACAGGGCCATGGCCGGCCTGCCGGCAGGCGGACCCGCGCGTCCAGTGTCCTGCGCCGCTTCCCCGCTGCCCTGAGGGAGCAGAGAAGAGGGGGGGCAAGCTAGGTGCGCTCGCGCCTCATCTGACATCCCCTCCCTCCCTCCCGTCCCTTCTCATCGCGCCGACGTTTCGCTATCCGCGGACGCGTGTCATAGCGGCTTGCGATTCACACGGAAAGACCACTTCGAGTTATGCGCAGTCGGAAAAAAGGGAATTGCGCGCACAGGATTAGGAGGTGGCGGGTGAGCAGGAGGGTGAGCGGGAGGATTAGGATGAGGACGAACAGCAGCAGCAGGAACTAAAGCGGAAGGATCGGGAGGGAAAGCAGGACCAGGGGAAGGCGGAGGAGGGGAACTGAGGGGTGACAGCAATGAAGAATGATTCGGATTCAGAAAAGTGGCCCGCTCTGGCTCGAGACGAACAACAGCAGTAGCAATTGGAGTGGAAGGTGTGGCAGGAATTCGCAGAGGAAGACAGAGGAGGGGAAATGATGTGGGGGGGCTACATAAAGCAGGGCTCGGATCTAGAAGAGTGGCCCGCGCTGGGGCGAGAGCGCTATTTTGAACGACGGGAGAAACACGCCGATCCGAACATGAGGCCGACGCTGCAGCGGGAGCGCCAGTTTGAGAAACGGGAAACAATTATATTGCAAAAAAACACACAAAATAAGTTTGATGTTGAAGTCTTATGTAAAACAGCGCGCGCCAAGGGGGCGGTAGATCTTCCGGACAACTTGAGGGGAGGAGGGGGAGGGAGGGCGAAGGGGGGGCAGCTTCATAATAGTATTCATATTGTTTAATTGTAGAGGATGGAGGGGCGAGAAGGGGAAGGGGGGAGAGGGAGAGGAGGGGAGTAGAGGGCGGAGAGGAGGAGGAAGAGGAGGAGGAGGAGGACCAGTGTCAACCTACGGACCCAACAACGATGTTGGAATGAAACCTCACTCCAAGCTCCATCTTCATAGGCCCCATACAAGGATTCATTCCCACTGGGGGAAGTGGCCCTTTGGGAGACAACCGTTTGAACATCCCGGAGCGTGCCAAAACACCATTCGCATCTTTTCAACGCGACGAATGAACCTGACTCTGTTGCGTCTTGACGATCCTGCAAGCATCGTGCAAAGTTGAAAGACGAATGTGCGCGGCGCTCAAGCGAGAGCCATATTTTGAAAACGACCCGTCTTCATCTCGTGAAGATCTCGCATGTTTAAAACGAATGCGCGCGGCGCTCCGGCGAGAACCACATTTTGAAAACGGCCCGCTCTCAATACGTGAAACCCTTTGCAACTATTAAGAAGAATGTGCGCGGCGCTGAGGCGAGAGCCACATTTTGAAAACGACCTGTCCTGAACCCGTGAACCTCTTGCATTGTTTAAGACAAATGTGCGTGGCGCTCAGGCGAGAACCATCTTTTGAAAACGATCATTGCGTATTCCGTAAAAACCTTGCCGATTTTCAAATGTCACCATCATACACGGTAAGGAAGCCTCAGGCGAAACGCACCGCCCGCCCTTCCGACTAGCTTCGGGGTATGACGGGGGGAGTTCGTCATAAGGAAAAGGAATGGAGGAGGGGGAGGGGGAGGGGGAGGGGGAGGAGGAGGAGGAGGAGGAGGAGGAGGAGGAGGAGGAGGAGGAGGAGGAGGAGGAGGAGGACCCTCCTCCCCTTCCTACCCCTCTTCCCTTCTTCCCCTGCCTCCGGTGCCGCTGCCGGCCAGGTCCCGACTTGGATGGGTCGAGGGTCGGAGCATTACATGCCCGTGCGGAGTACGACCGCACGGAGTGTTCGGCTTCCGTCTGGGCTTTCCCCGTCTGGACCTGTTCTTGAGAAGATGCCAAGTCCATACGGAGTTGGTCCGCACGGAGTGCTCGGCCTCCGTATGGCATTGCTCCGTTTGGGTTCAGCCTTTCCTTCCGCGGACGACTTGTGCGTGTACCGTACCGCGCTAGGCGTCTCCCGAGGCGTCGTCGATCTTCGACCCAGGACATGCACTGTGCACAGTTCTTCGGCCGCCAGAACCGAAAGCTCATGCACCGTTCCGCGCTGGGGCGGGGCCTGCAGGGATCCCAAACATGGTGCTCTGCACGGGCGCCGTGCTGCGATCCCCGACACGCGACGTCCTTGGGCCCTCTGCCGCGCCCCCCAGGCGGGGCCCGGCGGGGCTGGCGCCCTGCCACCCTCCCCGTCCCCCCGGGGTGCGGCCGGGCGCGCCGCGAGCTTTATTCTCTCGGTGACACCCTGCGGCGCCCGTCCCAGACGGGCTCCGGGGCGCCGTGCCGGGGCCCGCCGCGGCTCTCCGCCCCCAGCGGCCGCGCGGGCCCGCCCGCAGGCGCATGCGCAGGCGGCCCCGCCGTTCGGCGGGGGCGGCGAGGTCTCTTCCGCGGCCGGCCGCCGCCTCGTCCAGGCGACGGCGGCGCCTGCGACGTCGACGGCGCCAGCAGCGCCTGCGACGTCGTCGACGACTGCGGCGGCGCCAGCGACACGACGGCGGTGACGGCGGCGGCGTCGACGACGACGTCGGCGGCGTCAGCGGCGTCGACGTCGACTGCGGCGTCGACGCCTTCGACACCGTTGGCGACGGCGCTGAAGGCGTCGGTGACGTCGAAGACGACGGTGTTGGCGTCTGCAATCTCGGCGACGACGACGTTGGACGTTGTCGGCATCGAAGACGCTTCGGATTGCACGTGTTTGTGTAAGTTTGTCTGCACGGGGGCCCTCGTCGCCGCGGCTGGCCTCGCCTCGAAGTATTGGTCAGAACGCCCTCCGGAGAAAGGTTGGGCTCTGCACCGACGGCGCCAAGGACGGCGACGTCGACCACTCGACGGCGTCTTTGGACTCGGCGACGACATGGACGACGGCGTCGCGGCGACAAACACCGATGACATGGGTGGCGATGACGAAGTCGACGAATCGACGACGGCGACGAAGACAGGTGTCGATGAAGTTGGCGTGATCGACGAAGACAGCGAAGAGACCGATCACATTGATGGATTCGACGACGTTGGGGGCGAAGAAGTCGCTGACGACGACGGTAATGTCGATGTCAACGCCTTTCTCGCCCGTCGTGCGGTCAGACAGGCTCGAGCGCCCCGAAGGGGGGAAATGGTGCCTAGAGCTTCCCACGCCAGGGTCATCTCCCGACGGAGGAAGGAGGAAGGAGGAAGAGGAGGAGGAGGAGGAGAACACGAGGAGGGAGGAGGAGGAGGCGGAGGAGGAGGAGGAGGAGAACACGAGAAGAGAAGACGGCTGGACGCGGCTCGGAGAGCGGGCCAGGGTGCACACCGCGAGTGGTGCTCCGGGGACCCGGCGCGGAGCGGACTCCTGGCCAGGGGGGCGTGGGGGCGATGGAGCTGCCCGCTTCTCCGAAGTGGGTCGGGGGGTGGACAGACCTCCTACCCTGACACGTCGATTAGCGAATAAGCCGTTTTCGGTTTTCGGGAGAGGGCGTCGCGGCCGTCATTTTTGCGGGTCCAGGTCCGTCGGTTTCGGTCCCAGGCCGTTTTCACTAAAGGGTGGTTTGCTAAAGGGAGGTTTGTCCACCGCCGAGTGGGGCTGGCGTTTTCCCCGACCTCCCACGGTGCGAGTAGAACTGGAGCCCTGTAGGCCACATCTTTTCCTGGGGCTGTGGCTCGAGCTAGATCGATATGCAATATACGATGGTGCCGAGGCCCGAAGACGGGCGAAGACGCCAGGTGTGAGAAAATGCAAACGCTCAGATCTCAGGGATTCTGCTTCCCCAGGCACGCGATGCCATGACGTTTTGAATACACGGTGCCTGGAAGTCCCGACGACCCTTTCTACAGGGCCGGCGTTTCATCAAGTGTTCTGACGGTCCTACAGGTCTCGGAAGAAATAAGCGAGCATTGATACCGTATTCATTTGTCAATGCCCACCCCAATGATCAAAGTTGGTGGTGGGTTGAATGAGCTGCCTTCGACCGCAGTCTTGTCCGCATGTGCCATCTTTCTGAGTTTGGTGGAGAGGGGGGGGTCCACTAATTGCTTCCCTCTACCGTAGGGCCTGGTAGGCATCATGGCGGTAGCCAGGGTATCTCCCCAAAGTCTCTTCGCCCCCTCGTCCTTTTTTCCAAAAAGCCCTCGGCCCCCACCGGGCACATGCCTCGCAAATGCCTCGGGTCATGGTTTGCGAACCCCCCTCTTGGACGCCCCCGAAATTGGCGGGGGTGGGCACCCCCCGGACATGACAGCGTCGCCAAAAGTTGCACGACGGGAGTGCTTGGCCGCTTTCTCGGCCTCATGGGGCCCGCGCCGGGCCCCGGCACTGGCGCTGCAAGTTCTTGCGCAACGGGCGTCTTCCAACAGTTTCGAGCCCTTGGACCCCCACAGATCGCTCCGGCCCGCAGACGGGATGCAGGGAGAGTGGGGCTCTGGGGCTCCAGTGGCCGCGGCGACGGTCCGCCTCTGTGAGGACGACGGCAGCGACCAGAGCCATGGCGACGAGAAACGGCGACGACGACGCCGACGGCCGCGGCGGCTGCAACGGCGACGGCAAGAGCGGCAGCTGCGACAGCCCGAGCGGCGAAGACGACGACGGCGACCAGAGCGATGGAAACGGGAAACGGCGCCGACGACGCGGACGACCGCGGCGGCGGCCGCGGCGGCGGCGGCGCCCTCCGCGGCCCACCCAAGGCGACCCGCTTGCAGACCGGCGGCTCCTCGGCCGGGTTCTCGGGGCCCTGGGCCAGCATCCCGGCCGGCGGCGGCGAGCTCCCCGTCTTCAACAACCGCGTATCGGGCATCCCCGAGTTTATCCCAGGCGTCGACGGCGGTCTTTCGGGCGGCCCCCAATGACGGACGTTCGTTTGTATAGTCAAGATCTCTCAGCATCGTCTGACCGATCCCCGTGCCGATGTGGCCACGGTATCTCGGCCCAGCCAGGCCACCCGCCCAGGTTGGGGTAGATCCCGCAACACCGAAAGGAGCAGCATGAATCCCGACCTAGCGGGGGAAGGCTGCCGGTGGGGCCAACGCCGTGCCAGTGGGGAACGATGTTCAGTATCGACGAAGAGGAAGCGTCACATACGGAGATAAATTTTTGGAGGTCCTCGCAGAGTTCTTGGATCGGCGCTGGCACCCCCTCCCTGGCGCGCGAAGCGGGCCAGGAGCGGCGCCAGTGGCGCCGCCCACAGGTTCCAGCGCCCTCTCTGTATCTTACCTTCCGAGTGGGATAAGAATCGCGGCCCCCTGTCCTCCCCTGATAGCTACCCCGTCCAAAGTATAACCACCGCTCTCGCGGTCCTGTGCATGTGTGTTTTGTGCAGGCCATCCCCGAGCGGCCGTCTTGCAGCCGCGGGGGCGCGGCCGAGGAGTCTTCTGTCGCGAGGGGCAGGCAGGGGCCTCAGACTCGGCTTCGCGCCAGGGTGACCCCTTTGGCGCGGGCACACGGGGGCCCCCCGATGGCCGAACACGATGCGATGGCAGCGGCCTGCGCGCTCGCATGTGGCCTCCCCGCGCCCCCCGAAGGCCGCGCAAGACGGGTCGCTCCTGCCTGGGGTCACTCCTTGCGTGTAGCCGGTAGATGCTGTCAGGAGCGCTGGGACATGTCTCCCGCTGTCAAGATCGGCGCCTTGTTCTCCGTTTGGTGGGCAGTGTTTCCCCTTCTGGGGTTCTCGATCGTGCCGTTTTCGGTTCGGTTCCGTGTCGTGTTGCTCGCGCATCGCGGAGTGGGACTCTTCGGACGCGACCCGCGACCGAGGAGTCCCATTCCGCGATACGCGCGGGCGGCATGCCCGTGGGTGGCCTGTGGCGTTGGGCTGACGGGGGACGTCCAGGGGCGCGCCTCCAGGATCCCCGAGAGCGTCAGGCGGGGGTGGACTCGGGGGGAGCGCGCCTACCAAGAGCAGCGCACCGACGTCGAGGAAGGAGCATCACGACTCGAGGCGCGTAGATGCGTGGACGCACGACGAGCCGCCGCTTCGGTACAAAAGCTGCGCGCTCCACCGCGAGACATCGGGCGGCGTCGGCTTCATGTTTCGGAGGCATTTCTGTTCTCCCGCGTCCAAGTGCCAGATCCACGGATCTGCAGTCCGTGTTGGCATGTGTTTGATAGCGGGCCACGCCTGGAAAAGGCCACCCGTATGTCCACGGGCTAACACAGGTCATCGTAGTGAAGGAACGCGCATTTCATCAACCATGTTTAGCAGCGGCGACGTTTTGCTTAAACCGATGGTGTATGCACTTGCCCCACCTGACCAAGACAAGACAGAGCAGCAGTTATCATACGCAAACGCGGTCTACTAAATTCAAATACGGGTTTGTTGAACATCGAGCTGTCTTGTTTCTGAATCCAAGATCTCATCATTACCATTATGTGTGTGTGTGTGTGGCTCGGTGACTTGTGGAGCCGACACCATGGAGAAACGACAACAGGTTCTTGTGTGGAGACGCGATGCGCTCGTTCGCCGTCTTCGGCCTGCTAGGGCCTCCCTGGGCCGCGGCACCGTCGAGGGACGACGCGAGACAAAGAGGTTGCCCCAAGGGACGCCCTGCATGCCTCCTCGAAGTCAAGCGCAAGTTTTCACCGCCGGTCGACGCGTGAAGTGCGGCCCACGGGGTCAGACTTGTGTGTTTGCAGTCGCCGATTCCGGCGCGAGCCTTGGGACTTGGGGGTCCTGTGGCGCCGCCATGTCGCGGGACAACAATTGCGTTGGCGTTTGGTTTCGAGGCGGGATGTGGGTCCATGACCCGCTTCCCTCAGACCCATTCTCTTTTCCTCGCGGCATTCTCCCAAGCAAGCCCAGATTTCTGGCGGCTGCAGAACAAAAAACGCGCAGGAACGCGCTGGAGGTGCTCGCCACTGTTCGGCGTCCAGGGACCGTGTGTCTGGGCCCCCACGGCCCGCAGCAGGCGACCCGGGATGGAAAAGCGGTCCTTTGCGGCAGGGGTCGAGGGCTCCAGAGGCCGACGGCACGGAGGCATCGCTTCGTCGAAGGGCCCGGGGAGAAGGAGCGACGAGGGGGGACGTCGTGGGGGCTCCCCGGGGGTCCCGGGGGAGGCCTCGGGAGGTCTCCCGGCCAAGACTGATTGTGCCATGGAGCGGCGACGACGATCGCTTCAGGCGTTTCGACATTGGCTCCGAGCAAGGACGCGGAGGCGCAGCAAGAGCCCAAGTCCAAGTCGGCCGCACGGCGGAAACAGCGGACGATGATGGAGAAGTGGACCGAGATGAAGGCAATCAGGGGAAAAAGAGCGATGCGGAGGTTCGGGCGAATTGTAAGTGGGGTGACCTGAATGGGGGGTGGAGAAAAAGGCCCTACAGGTGCCCTTCAAGGCCCCTGCTGGAGTCATGCCACTATGTTCTATGCCTCCTAGATGGGGTCGGCGTAGATCGGGTTGGAGGATCACCGATGCATCGGCAATGCATCGGCGATGCATCGCCGATGTATCGGCGATGCGGTGAGATCCTCCGGCCCTACTCACTCTGAACTCATCCAGGAGGCCTTTAAATGTCCAGGAAGTTCTGAGGATTTGGTCCATTTTTGGGCCTCTGCGGACCTCCCGGCTGTGACCTCGGGATGCCCCTGAAGACTTGTGGAGACATCCAGGGACCGCCAAGGCTCTCAGATCGGGGCGTCGTGAAAAGATGGCAGGGTTGCTTCTGCCTCGTCTGGCGGCGCGCACTGGGGGTAGGGAAAGGAGGGAAGGCTTCTTAGAAGCAGGCTGCCTCTTGGAAGGCGCCGGCCCCAGAGGCAGCCTCCTTCTAAGAAGCCTTCCGCACTCGCCCTACCCCCCCCCCCAATGCGCGCCGCCAATTTGTTTTCGGTGCCCGGGGCCCTCACGGATGGACCCAGTCCCAGAAACTCGTCGTCTCTCGCAGTCGTTCGCAGTCGTTGGGCCTGCCGAGGTTGCACAGAGCTGCCTCTCGTGGTCGCCGCTCGCGGTCGCTGGGTTTGCCGAGGTCTCTGTGTTCTGCTGCCCCTCAGGCAGTGCATGCACTCGGGACTACTGCTCTTTTTCCCGAGTGCCTGAATGGGCACGCCAGGGTTTCGCCTGGGACCCGTTTGGTGGCCGCCTCTGGCTGTCCCGTGCGTCGGGTGGGTGCGCCTGTGGTTTCGCCGCTCGGCGCCCGCCCGAGGCCGGCTCGTGGCCGCACTGTGCGCTGGGTGAGCCACATGGCTCGCACCACAGACATTGAACCACATAAACTGCACCACATAGCTTGCATTGCGCGGGTTGCACCACGCATCCTCACCGCATGGCGGGCAGCAAGCGTATACACAACGGTGCTCGACCGAAACGGTGCTTTGACGATTTCGCGGAGCGTTCTCATTCTGATGTTGTCGTGCAGCAAAGGTTGAACGAGCGCATAACTAAGGAAAAGGCGAACGAAACGAAAACGGGAAACATTATTCAGGTCCAGCCATGCAATGGAAAGATTTGTATCACCACCTTTAGGGTTCACCACACAGCTTTCAACGAATAGCTTAGACCACACATTTTGAATCACATAATATGCCTCTGATGCAGTCTCTGTCCTGATGCACTCTACTCCCTCACCGCCCCCTCACCGCGACCAGGCCTAACCGCTCCGCTCAGCATGTTATGTTCATATCTATATTGCATGATCGCCCATCCGTAGCACCAGAGAGAAAGGCATGCCAGCCAGCCTCGGTATTGCCACCCTCCCATCCTTGTTGTCAATTCACATTATGCGATGCACATGCGTTGATCTAAGACGTGCATTATCTACGAATGTCTTGCGAATAAAGAAATATGCGGGGCATGCGCCTGCCGCCGCCCGCGCGAGTGAGTACTTGCACCAAGGAGACAGAAAGTATGCGGAGTAAGCCGTATGGTGTTGGGTATGATGTGTGTAAGTTGTATGCGTGAGTTGTATGGTGTGCAGGGTACACGTCACGAGCTGCGTAACATGTGCTGTGCTGTGTGACCCATGCGGTGTCAGCTATGTGGCTATGTGGTGCAAGTTGCCTGGTGTAAGCTATGCAGTGTTAGGCACGTCGTGCAAGCAATGTGGTGTAAGCTGGGTGGTGTGGTCCACCTTGCGGAACTTGAAAAGGCCTTTGCAGTTCTCACGCAAACATCCATGCTGGCAACACCATGGATGTTTGCGTGAGAACCACACAACATTCCAGTTCTCACGCACACAGGTCCCACTCACAATATGGTTGGCAACACCCATGCGGCCACGATTGCAGGTACCTGGCTGGCGCTTGTTGCGGCGCGTCTCCGCGGCCGTGCTGACGCGTTCAGGCCCGCGCGCAGAGCGGCCGCGGTGGCGCTTGACGTTATGCTGTTCCAGCCTGCGTTAGCTTTGATCACCAGAAAGAAGTTCGAGCACCAAGAAAGTACCGAAACTGCAGGGTTTTCACGTGTCGGGCCCTGGGAGGCGATACTCGTTCGACATTGTTTCGATATTTCTGGGTGCTCGATAAGTACGATGGGAACCACATAAACTTACCGATGGAAATTTACCAGCGCGTTTCAAGGCAGCGCTGGCGAGAGGGCTCTTTAGTACGGGCCGTTGGCTCGGGCGGGCGCGATATCTCGATGATGTCGGCAGCTGCTGCACATATGATGATAACATCGATGGCGGTGGCGATAATGACGACGACGGCGGCAGTGCCAGTGACGGCGCCGATGCTGGTGACGATGGTGACGATGATGATGCCGATGTGGTGATAAAAATGATTGGTTGATGATGGCGGCAGTGGCGGCGATTGACGATGATGGGAACGGCGGTGGTGCGATGGCGCCGATGAGGGTGATGAGGTAGTGCGCGCGAAATTCAATAACTATGGTAGGCCTATTTTGGTCTGCTTCGAAAGCCGATGGTTATGAACGGATTTCGACGCGCGCGTGGCGACGCGCACGTGTGATTCTCATGGTATTACTTGACAGGTTCGCGCACAGGGCGCATGCTAGATCAACGCAGTTACACCGAGTGGGGAGATGAGAATCCGATGCTTGGACGAGGTTTCTAAATTAGCGTGGTGTTCACATTATTTCAGCAGGTCCGCGCGGGCAGAAAACCTGAAATACTGGTGATGAAACATTAGCGCGTTCTGGATTTTCGTATAGTGCAGCGCTTGCATAGCTGACGTGCGCATGGTAGAATGTCCGCATGTGCGCGCATGTGGATTTAGTTGTATTGTTGTGCGGGGCTCTTACAATGTAAGTTGTTGAAGTATGCGAGCGCGCGCATGGTATGATTATGAAGGCCTTACGGCTTGTACCGCCGACCCTGAAAAGGTAGCCCGTTGCGTCTTGGAGGCAAGGAATCGAAGAGGAAACCTTCTCCCAGGGAGGGGCACTCCCCCAAAGGGGGGCGGGTCACAACCCCCGGGGCCCCCCCATACCTCCCTGGGAACCCTCTGCCCTCCCCGCGACACCCTCCCCTCGACGGGAAGGGATCAAAGGGAAGGGGCTCACCTTCGACTCGATTCCACATGGTGTACTTTGACTGAGATGTTGGGTGGGGGGGGGGTCACTGCCCGGTTTGGCTGGCATGGTGCGATGTCGCGTGGGAGATGGAAAATGGCGCAGAATCAGATGTGACGTCTATTATTCCATTGATTCTTGGTCCCCGGGGGGGGGGGGGCGCGTGATGGGGGGCGAAAGACGAGGGCACAGCGCGTAATGGGGGGCGCGTAATGGGCTGCGGAAAAGTAACCCTTTCGAGCACCTAAAGGGGGACCCTGTCGGGCCCCGAAGGGAGCCTGTAGGGCCCGAAACAGGTACCTTTATTCTCCCCCATGTATCGTCAGCCCACGAAGCGGAATCCACTTGATTGCAGATGCGAGTTGGAAGATGGCGCAGAATCGCACGTAAACTGAATTATCCCAGAGGGTTATGATAACCGGCGGGGGGCCGGGTATAGTCTGCGTTTTTGTCGGCGGCGAGCGAGGGGGGAAGTGAAAAGGAGAAGGCCTTCTGAGAAGGTGGCGCGACTTCTCAGAAGCCCTCGCGCCTTCTGAGAAGTCTTCCACGTCTTCGGGGAAGGCTCAGGAAACGTCTCAGAAGCCCAGGGGACCTCCGAGCCTTCCAAGAAGCCCCGGCACTTCTCACTCCCCCAAAAATGTATCCCCCCACATTAAGCGTTGCCCAACAGGCCTCGGGAAGAAATAGCGAACACGCATGCCTCATTCATCGTTCAACGCCTCCCCCCTCCCCCCAATGTTCAAAGTCGGCGGTGGGTCTGAAGAGTCCCACTTCGACCGCAGTCTCTACCGAGCGTGCCCACTTTGAGTTTGGGAGAGCGGGGGAGTGTCCACGAACTGTTTCCCCCTACCAGAGTTCTGTGCTCCTGGAGGGGGAGCACGCGTGGTGTTAAGCTGTGGGGTGCAGGCCCCGCTGATGCGCCCACGGATGCGCCGACGGGCGGGCACCGGGCGAGACACTTCGGCATACGCCCCCCAGCCCGGGGCGCACACGGAGGCGCCCGCGGGCGGTACGAGGCGAGACCTCACCCCCAGCTCGGGGTGCCCACGATCGGTACGACCGAGACGGGGACAAACAGAGTGGGTCACTGAGGATCGAGCAGCCCTTAGATCCCTACTTACACGAGGAAGACGTAGCCTCACTGAGGTCCCCGTCTTCGAATTGGGGGTAATGCGCATGCGCCGTTTGGTTCGATGCACCTACAGGGAAGACCCCTCTCTCCCTGGTGTGCCCGGCCCTCCTGACCTGGGTCCTCTCCCAAAGGGCAGGGGTCCCTTCACGCGTGACCAGATGGTTACGAAGACCGACCGCACGTTGAGCCGAGTTCGCTGTCGGCGTCGCCCTCGGGCCCTCGCCCGCTCGAGGCAGGATGCCGCCTGCTCAACAGCGGCCGCTGTCGGTTTCGGACACCAGTTTTAAGTCGGGCCTGTCCCTCTACAGGGGGCCTGCTCAAAAATAGTCGAAAAACAGTCAGGGGACGATTTTTTTAATATTGTTGGGCCATTTGGAGGTAATTTTAGGGTATCTTTAATTTTTCGCCCAAAATCCCCCTGTAGGGGGACAGGCCCGACTCGGCACCAGTTGCAGTTGGGCATCGTGCCCATGTTCGTCGCGCCCCCTTCGCCGGCGCCCCAGCACGAGGCGCCCAGGGCGGGCAGCCGGGGCGAAGCCTCAAGGGGCACCCGCGGGGCGCCCCCGCAGGACGGCACGCCGCGCGGAGCCTCGGCACGCTCGCCCCGCGCGGGAAATCATGAGAACACGATGCGCTGTTG